CTCTTTTACACATTTAGTTCTTATGGAAAGTGCCAATAATATGAACTTTTCGAATAAGTATAATCATTGGTTTTGGGACATCAGAAGCTCTTTAAATCCGAAATAAAAAATCCAGGTCTGTATTTAAAAAAAATAAAGTTGATGATGGCCGCCCAAAGACGAAACGTCGAATCTGAAATCTCCTAGCAACGTCTTGTAAAGGGGAAAAAGTAACAATGATGAAGTGACATTTATTTAAAAATTGCTCTTCAAATAGCCTAAGGAAAAAATAAAAATGATTTTGCAAAATTTCGGTTTTTTCCGAATATCTTCGGAAATTTTCAAATTTCAAAACGGCATTATATTGGTCATAAAATTCCGCAGCTTTGCCATAATTTAACCGACCTCGTATCTCTTATAGTTTTCGATATCTCAATGGTCACCCTCGAATTTGGGACACCCTGTACAGGGTTATTGGTTATAAATGTCACCCCCCTCTATCTTTTTTATTTGACATATTAGAGAAAAGTGTCCCAAATTAAAGTTTTATGGTTGAAATTAAATTTTTTGAAAAACTTACTTTCGCATATACAGGGTGTTTCAGAAAAACTGCTCGTGCTCCAAATTTCTTATCTATATATATAAAACACAGTTATGTTGGTGTTGAGCACATATAACTCGAGAACGGCTGGACTGATTTTTATGATTTTTGCTTTATTGGATTTGTCTTTGTCCATCCTACGATAATAAATCGAAAAAATCCAAAAAAAAACAAACAAAAAAAATTATCTATTTTACTTATTTATGAAAAAAAACTCACTAAGCCCGCATACGGCGCCATCTCTTATAACCGATACCAAGTTTACTGTCACATTTTCATTGCAAACCATGTGGATTTTATTGTCACACACTTTGCACAAAAACAATTTGAGGAAAGCACCTTATTTTTAATTGTTCTTCACAGTAAAAATGTCCAAAAATAAATAGAATGACAATGTTTTAATTGTGTATTTTATTTTGTTGTTGGTTCGTTCATTCCGAAAGAGCCCGAACTGGTCTCCCTGTCATTTCTTGACGCTTGACCATTGACGTTCTGTGGCTAAGTTCCGTTTCTCCTCTTAGGCATCCCTTGACAGCCGTGTTCCGTGGCGACTGTTCGGAGTGCTCCGTCCGGCTGGTGTCGAGTGGCAGAGAGCCAGGTTATGAGTCCGCCACAACCATTTTGTGTACGGCGCCATATATGATAGGTACCTAGAACGAAGCTCGCCGTTGTGCGGTAATTTCATTGCAGATACAGTAGAACAGAATACTGCTAAGGAACTGGAGCTATTCCAAACAGAACTATTCCACTATTCCGATCAGATAAAGTGGTGCAGAAAGAGTAGATCAGATAGAATAGTGCAGATACAGTAGAACAGATGGAGTATTGCAGTGCAGATAAAAAGAAACAGGGCTGCGCTGGAGATTTTTTTTGTTTTCTTTACATTTTTTGAACATTCCTGTGCCTGAGTTTATTTATTTGGTGGTAGACTTTATAAGAATAATGCCCACAAGATGCCTAAAAAGGGATGATGTAAAATTTTAATTTTAGGTGACTTCTGATCCAGAGAGTAAAAATTAATTTTCTTCAACAAAAGCCAAATTCACCATCGAAAAAAACTGAATTTAATTCAGTTAATAAAATCTGTTTTTTTTTAAAGATACCTAATTCCCCAATTCAAAAATTTAGTAACTATGTTGGCAACATAAGCCTTTTCTACATAAAAATTTTGAAAGCATTGACAATTTTACATTGTATTGCCAACATAATGTCATTTTGACTTTTATCTTTAAAAAAAAAACGCACTTTAGATACGTTAACACAACATTTAGTAGGTATTTAATAATTCAGAGGAGGAACGAAGTTCGCCGGGTCAGCTAGTTTCAAATATATGAGCAGATTTCATGTGATATACCCTATACCTAAGTTCTTCAATGATTTAAAATTCCAATTAGATTTAATCTTCGGTTAAATTCAAAGTTGGTGTCAAATGATAACTTGTGAAAATCTTGGAAAAAAATGTAAGATCGGTTTTGCTCAAAAGTTAACCGTTTAGGTATTGCCTGTCAAAGGACCCCGTAATATTTAAATGGAAATTGGTTACCCGTGATATTTGGATCAAATTTAAATATGTTATTGGGGATGCCGTAAGGCCCGTAAGCAACATTTTTTACCATGGGCACAATCCTGTATATATGACAGGTGAGGTATGGTTAGCTGTCAAATATTGGAATCTTATATCCAAAAGCAGAGTAACTATGGCAGATTTTGATGAACAAAATATCTATTTCTACTAAGTCGACTAAGTTAAGTCGAAAAATGTCAACCATTTTGACACCTGTCAAAACCCTGCCAAACGGCAGCACTCATCTTTTCCAGTTTTCAATATTTTATGTCATTTGATATTTTTAACTTGTATGTAAATTCTGAATTCAAAATTTGAAAAAAATTGCATCATAGTGGATTTCATTTGTAAGTGTCAAAATGTTTGAGTACTTTAATGATTTCATTATAGTACTAAGTACTATAATGACTGTACTATAATGACGAATGAAATTAAATCCTTTATACGTAAACAACATACTTCAAAATGAAAATTGACATCTCTGTCAAAATCTGAAACCTGCGTATAATATTTTTTCATGCGTTATCATAAATAAGCCTAACTTAAATTGAAAAAAAACTAGATTTGATTATTTTTTGAATTAAAGCTATTGACAGATTCTGACAGCTGTCAAAATGTGACGTGCATGAACTTTGTTCAATGTTTTATCACCAATAAACTACCTTAAAACGAGAAAAAACCAGATTAGAGTATTTTTTTCTACTAAAACAAATGACAGGTTTTGACAGTTCTGTCATTTTTTTTTTCAATTTTTGAATTCAGAATTTACATACAAGTTAAAAATGTCAAATGACATCATAAAATATTGAAAACTGGAAAAGATGAGTGTTGCCATTTGGCAGGGTTTTGACAGGTGTCAAAATGGTTGCCATTTTTTGACTTAACATGGTCGACTAAGTAAAAAAAGATTTTTTGTTCATCAAAATCTGTCATAGTTACTCTGCTTTTGGATATAAGATTCCAATATTTGACAGCTAACCACGCCTCACCTGTCATATATACAGGGTTGTGCTCATGGTAAAAAATGTTGCTTACAGCATCCCCAATAACATATTTAAATTTCATCCAAATATCACGGGTAACCAATTTCCATTTAAATATTGCGGGGTCCTTTGCGAAAAAGTCAATTTTCAACTGTCAATATTTCCAAAACAGTTGAACTTAGGTATGGGGTAAATCACATGAAATCTGCTCAGAATTTGACGTAGAATCCGAATATCGAATAATATACATGGTATATACAGGGTGAGTTACTAAGCGCGCGGTGGTCCATATCTCCTATACTAACGGAGATCGGAGAAAAAACTAAATACAAAACTTGTAGATAAACATGAGTACTACATTCCTAAATTATTTTCTAGTATACAGGTTGGCCCAATAACTAGTAGTGACACAAAGTTATGTTTTTTTTGCATCTTTGACAGACTGTGAAACCTAAACGGTTAATTTTGGAGGAAAACGGATTTTACATTCCTATCTAGGATTTTCATAAGCTATCATTTGACACTAACTTTCAATTTAACCAAAAATTAATAATTTAGGCGGAATTTTTAATCATGGATTAAATTCAAGATTGGTGCCAAATGATAGTTTATGGAAAACTAAGATAGGAAGGTAAAATCCGTTTTCTTGTAAAATTAACCGTTGAGGTTTTACAGACTGTCAAAGATGCAAAAAAGTCAGTTTTTAACTGTCAATATTTCCGAAACAGTTGAAGATAGGTCAGTGGCGGCCAGTGGCAACCTAGTGTGGTTGTGCGCTCTTGGAAAATTTTTTGGAGGTGCCACGTCCTGTTTTACCTACATTTATTTTGTATGTTGATTTTTTTTCTTTTTACTTTAGGAAAAATTATCGAAAACAAAAATATATGTATTTAAATGAGGCTTGAATGTTTGTATTCTAGCCATTATACATAATTGATATTGAAATTTATAATTAAAAAAAAAAACGCGAACAACAGAGTTGTCAAACCGCCAAAATGGTGAAAAAACATCGAAATATTCTCGATTGAGTGGAAACAACATTGGAAGTGTGTATTCAAATAGCGCACGGCGCATCCCTTTCATCGGGCGACTTTACCGTATATTCCCGATCAATCGCACAGCGAGAAAACACATTTACCCAGAGCGCCGAACGATTCCACACCGACCACCCGGACCACCAGCATAACCAAGCGGGAGAAAAAAAATATACAAGACAGGCGCCGGGCGCGCTTTCGTTCCGTTCGTGCGAATTTAAAAATAGAAAAATGAGTAGATATTTATCCTAATTTAGAAAATTGGGTAAGTATTTTTTAATTGAAGTTTCTTTTCTTTCCAAAATTTTAATTTTATTTTCTTGCTTGGTTTTTGGAGGCAGTGCGCGCGCACGAGCGCACTTATTGAGAAGCCGCCCCTGAGATAGGTATATAACATTGTACATGAAATATGTCTAGAAAACATAACTTAGTGTCACTACTAGTTATTGGACTACTCTGTATATTGGAAAATAATTTAGGAATGTGGTACTCATGTTTATCTACAAGTTTTGTATTTAGTTTTTTCTCCCATCTCCGTTAGTATAGGACATATGGACCACCGCGCGCTTAGTAACTCACCCTGTATAGTGTCAAAAAAAAAACTAATGAAAGAATATTGTATTTCTCGCCAGAATAAAATATTTTTAAAAGTTGAAAATTATAAATTCATATCTAAAATCGAGTCTAAAATAGTCATCACCTGGATCGTGACATAATTTTTGTGGTCCTTCAAGCCCGATTAGACCAAAGATCGATTTCAAAACCAATTTGAAGCAGTAATCTAAAACCCCTGTACGCTGTTGAGTGGTAGTTTATATTAAACTATGAAAACAAATAAATTCCTTCTAAAAAATATGAAGACTTTATTAATCCTGAAAAATATAAACAGCTCTCCAATCAACAAAATAATGCTTCATCACAACAGATCTTTGACATTAAATATTTGGTATTCAGTCATAATTTGTACACATATTTTCATAAGAATCTTACAAGTACCTACACAAATGCATACTTATAAGGTACCTAAATTTTTTTCTAAATTATTACTCCCTGATGATAAAATCCAAAAACGACTTTTCTTTGACGCAATAATTATTTTTAGTAAAAACAATCTGCTTTTTTTATTATAGAAAACCAGCCTTAAATTAAAATGTGCGTTTCACACAAATGCAAAATAAATGCAACTTAAAATGAAATAAAAGATACATTTTGTCATTTTTTATTACATATGCATAATCAACGATTATCGCACGCAAATAGTTATTATCTATTTTCTATTTTTTTTTATTCAAATATCATAAAGTTGAAATTACTTTTGCCACTAAGAATATATGTCATTGTTAATACTAAAAGTTTCTTTATATTCTAAAAAAATCAAATGCTGCAAAAAGGCAGGTCGCTATAAGTTCTTGAATTGAAAAACTTTAGTTTGGTAATGACCAAATTGTTTTGTCATAGTGATGTCACATTTTTGGTACCCTGATGTATCTTTCATTTTATTATAGTTAATCATGAAGATGCAAGCTAAATCTAATAACTATGTAATGGTATACAAGAAATAAATAATTAATCCGATTTGTCACAAATGTTTTATTAAATCTACAAATGCCTTGTTTACTGTCTAATTTTTGCGATTTTAATAGGTTAAATATTTTGAAACATTCAATGATTTCTAGATCTAATCTATAAACATCAACGGATTTAGGACTTTGTGTATTTTTCCCCATTTCCGACAACCTGTAATATTCACTGCTACTGTATGGGTCTTTTCTTGCTGTTCTGTGATGTACAAATCCAACCATGGATTGTGATGAAAATACTGACTATATAGTAAAAATCAACTTTATGAATTTGAAAAGACAATGAAACGAAACATATTTTTTATTGACCATATATTGTCCGTCGATTTTAATCTGATACTCGGACGGAATCTGAGCTGGTGGCTCCCTACATTAGAACGCCAATGGTTACCTGACGTCACACCTGTTTTTGCCATATAAAACAGCCCCTCGCTCCTCATACCGCAAGCAGTGGCGACGCCAGGGTTTTACGTTAGGGGGGGGCCAGGCTGGGCCAGAAAAAATTAGGGGGGGCACTTGTTCTTACTTTATTGCTTTTCTTCTTTGAAATAAAAAATGGGAATTGCAAAGTTTTCCCGTATATTTTTGCACTCCACTTGAACAGGTTAATTGAATATCAAAATAGTACATTATAAAAATACAAGTTTCATAAGACGTCATTTTATCGCACGAGCCCTATATTAGAAAACGAGCCGGAGGCGAGTTTTCTAAAGGGCGAGTGTCGAAAAGACTTCAATATGACTGTGGTGTATCACGTTATATAATAAAAGTTGTCGCTGGGCTGACTGAAATACCGTGCGGACTGACACGTCATTCGGTATTGAGGAGGCAGGCAGAGAACAGTGGATATAAATATTCTGTGTTTTATTGAATATCCCTTATTCCGATATCAGGTGGAGAAAACAGTGAATTGCACAAGTGGCGACGAGTGTAAATTAAGAGATGGCTTCAAATATTCCTGCACTGGAAAATTTTGACTGTGAAGGCGATTTTTGTTCGGTTGGGCTGAAATGGCAAAAGTGGAAGAGAGCCCTTTTCATATATCTAGATGCCTCTAGTATCGAAATCCCTCAAAAGAAAAGAGCATTACTATTGCACTTTGGAGGCCTTGGGCTTCAGGAAATTTTCTACAACCTACCAGAGGCAAATGTAGAAGCCGGAAATACAGACGTTTTTGACACAGCCATAGCAAAATTGGACCAATATTTTGCACCCAAGCAGAGCAAGGTCTACGAAAGACATGTTTTCAGGGGACTAAAACAAGAAAATGGGGAAAAATTTGAAAAATTCCTCGTAAGGCTCCGAAATCAAGCAGCAAAATGTGGGTTTCACAATATAGACGAACAACTCATAGATCAAATTACCGAGAAGTGTCTGTCATTAGAACTCAGGAAAATTTTTTTAACTACTGGCGACACTATTTGCCACGGAACACGGCTGTCAAGGGACCACTATTGTCACAGAGGCCAACACGCTAGAGACTATAGAGAGGCAAATTTCCGAATTTAGCGAAAAGCCGTCAACAAGCTCGTTTAATGATGTTAACAATGTGTTAAATAGAGGAAATAAACGATTTGCACCATCAAACCGCTGCTCTAGATGTGGAGAAGAAGTTAAAGCGAATCACCATCAATGCCCAGCAAGACAAGCAACATGCAGAAAATGTAATTTTCGAGGCCATTATGCCAAATGATGTTTGTCAAAGCGGAAATTACCCACAACAGGAACAAATAGATCGACAGGGCTACCCAACAAAAGATTCAAACCTACACAACATTCAAGAAATGTCGACTCGATCCAATCAGATGACGAAACAGAGTATATTTTCCATTTGGAAGATGATGAAGAGGACCTAATTGGCTGTAAGGTAGGTGGAATTTTTATAAAAATGTTAATAGATTCAGGTAGCAAGTCTAATATCATTACCGACTTAACTTGGGAATCCCTAAAGAAATCGGGTGTTGAAGTGACGAACCAGCAACGAAATCCAAACAAAATTCTTTTTGCCTATGGAGCTAAAGAGCCGTTAAAAATTATTGGCTCGTTTGGCTAGTTTCTTTGTTATAGAAAAAGGAAAAAGAAATTTGTTGGGGAAGAACAGCGCGATTTCTTTGGGAGTTCTCAAAGTCGGATTGAACGTTTTGAATCATGTTTATCATATATCAAATAATACTTTTCCGAAATTTAAGAATGTACTAATTCATATACCGGTTGATCAGAGCGTACGAGCAATTAGCCAGCCATATAGGAGGGTACCCATTCCGCTGGAAAATAAAATAAACAAAAAATTGGATGAGCTTATTGCTTCAGATATAATCGAAGAAGTCCACGGACCAGCGGAGTGGATATCCCCGATTGTGCCCGTTCTTAAAGAGAATGGGGAGATACGGATATGTATAGACATGAGACAAGCTAACAAGGCTATATTGCGCGAAAACTACCCTATTCCTACCATGGATTTCCTTCTGCCAAAATTTCGAAAAGCACAATATTTCTCAAAATTAGACATAAAGAATGCATTTCACCAAATAGAAATTTCAGAAAAGTCGAGACACATTACAACTTTTATCACTAGTAAAGGGTTGTACAGATACAAACGTCTAATGTTTGGGATAAACGCCGCTCCAGAAATCTTTCAGAGAGTACTAGAGAAACTGCTCTTACCTTGCGAAGGCACGATTAATTTTATCGACGACATTTTGACATACGGAGAAAATGAAGAAGAGCATCAACGACGAGTTAAGTTCACACTTAATTTACTAAGTGAGAATAATGTTCTTTTAAATCAAGAGAAATGCATATTTAAAGTTAAAGAGATAAAATTTCTTGGACATATTTTATCACCCAAAGGTGTAAAACCTCTAAATGACTATATAGAAATTGTTAGTAGTTTCAGAACTCCAACAAATATCGATGAAGTACATAGTTTTCTTGGTCTTATAAACTTCATTGGTAAATGGATCCCTAACTTAGCCACACTTACAGAACCATTAAGGAGACTACTCAAACTTAAACTTGGAAAACACACAAATATAGAAAAATACTGGAGTAAAGATCAGGACAAAGCTTTCGAAAAACTGAAGGATTCACTATCTAATATAACGACACTGGGCTACTACGACCCCAAGGACAGAACCCAGGTCTATGCAGATGCGAGCCCAGTAGGGTTAGGAACAGTCCTTGTTCAGCATGACAACAATGGAGCAAGAGTCATCGCATTCGGAAATAAAAGCTTGACCGATTGTGAGAGACGCTACTGTCAGACAGAGAAAGAAGCTTTAGCTCTTGTCTGGGCTGTCGAACATTTTCGGATATACCTTTTCGGCAAGGACGAATTTGAACTCATTACCGATCATAAACCATTGGAGGTCATATTTGGGACCAAGTCACGTCCATGCGCACGCATAGAACGTTGGGTACTTCGCTTACAGTCTTTTCGATTTAGAGTAGTCTACCGTCCCGGGAAAAACAATATTGCAGACACATTATCTCGCCTTTGCCAGACATCCCTAAATCAGCCTTTTGAGAGCCAGGATTACGTTAATCAAATAGTTCAATATTCCCGGCCAGTCGCAGTATCACTGCATGAAATAAGAACGTATTCCAAGAAAGACGATGAGGTTCAAAAAATAAGGAATGGGATAGAAAATAACATTTGGGCAGACCCTGTGAAATATTGTCAGGTATTCCAGGAAGAGTTTTGCATTTGCGACGGCATCCTTTTAAGAGGTACCAGAATCATAGTGCCAAACAACTTACGACAACGAGTTTTAGAAGCCGCTCACGAAGGACATCCGGGTATAGTTGGGATGAAAAACAGACTACGTACAAAAGTATGGTGGCCGAAAATTGACGAGAATGCAGAAAAACTGGTGAAATCCTGCAAAGGCTGCACATTAGTTTCGGCTGCCACACCTCCACAAAAAATGAAAAGAAGGGAAATGCCTATAAGTCCCTGGATTGATGTTGCTGTCGATTTCTTAGGGCCGTTACCAAGCAGCGAATATCTCTTTGTGATCGTCGACTATTACAGCCGATATAAAGAAATCAAGATAATGAAAATAATATCTGCAGAAAACACGATCAATACCTACCCTCAAAGAAATATTTGCTAGACTAGGCTTCCCTGTATCTATTACATGCGATAATGGTAGACAGTTTACCAGTGGAGATTTCAAAAACTACTGCACGGAAAACGGGATTAAAATATACCATACCATTCCTTACTGGCCACAAATGAATGGGGAGGTCGAACGTCAGAATAGGGACATACTTAACCGGTTGAAAATAAGTCACGCTCTTAAGAGTAATTGGAAACAAGAGTTGATAGACTACCAAATGATGTGCAACAGTACCCCCAACACTACGACGGGAAAAACCCCAAGCGAGTTGTTTTATCGCAGACAGTTTAGAGACAAACTCCCAAACCCTACCAACACAGAAAGTGCCAACTTTGACGAAGATGCCAAAGACAGAGACCTAATCATGAAGGAAAAAGGAAGACATCGCGAAGACCTCAAAAGGAAAGCCATCGACAGTACTGAAATTGGAATTGGAGACAAAGTTTATCAAAAAAATATCATTAAACAAAATAAAATAACACCCGAATTCAACCCAACTCCTCATACAGTTATCAATAAAGAAGGAGGAGATGTGATGGTACGGAATGATGAATCGGGTCAAGAGTATAGGAGAAATATTGTACATCTTAAAAAGATGGAAGGGGAATGGAAAGTAATAAATGGGCCAGAAGGACAAAATCCTTAGATTAACTCATTAGTTTTTCTCATGTCTCACATACAAATTAACTATATTTACTTATATTTTTAGGTTTAAGTGATCAAACTCTATTGTATAATTATAAATACATAGAGATTACTCAATTACAAATTAAAATAAATTATATTTTCTAGTGAATACTAAAGTGATAAGTTATAACAAATAAACTATGTAAATTACTCACATTTTCAGGTTTAAGGTTTAAAATTCGAAACTATTATATAAATCCTAACTTTATAGATAGGTAACTTATAGATCTAAGAGATATTGAAGTTTAAAGATATTGTTTGTTATTGTGTTAATTTAAAATTACTCTGTTATACTAATTATTAAGTTAAATTAAAATTATATTGGAAAAAGGGAGAGATGTGGTGTATCACGTTATATAATAAAGGTTGTCGCTGGGCTGACTGAAATACCGTGCGGACTGACACGTCATTCGGTATTGAGGAGGCAGGCAGAGAACAGTGGATATAAATATTCTGTGTTTTATTGAATATCCCTTATCCCGATATCAGGTGGAGAAAACAGTGAATTGCACAATGACCAAAATAGAAAATAGCTATTTATACAATAAGTTACGAAATGAGCGTCTTTTAGGCACGCGACGTGAAAATTGTCCAACGAAGCAAAGCCGAGTTGGACAACACGTCGAGTGACTAAAAGACATCGTTTCGTAACGTATTGTATACAAGATTTTTTCTACTGGCATTTTATAATAAAAAAACACAATTTTATTTCATGTGAATAAGTCGATTACACCCAAAATCTTTGTTACCTGCTTTTACTTGACACCTGACACTTTTCATGCGATTTTCTTTTCAAAATTCGACATCAATAATTAAAATCCTAGAAAGTAGGTAATAACACAAAGTTCTGTTTTGAGTAACCCAAACGTTCAATTCAGTAATTCCATTTTCAATATTCATAATAAATACAAAACAAAATTCAAATATGTGTTTAGTGTGTTTTTTATTTCTGAATAATGAATGACACTTTTAGGCACTAGTGCTTAAAAATTACTTTTACGCACTCATAAGTCACTTTTACGCATTCAAAAGTCACTTTTACGCACTGAGTGCTTAAAAGTAACTTTCACGCACTCAGTGCCTAAAAGAATGTCGTTTCAAAACTGAAATGACAATCGAAAAGTTGCTATTATGAAACGTCAGTAGAAAAAGGTTTTTATTTGGATTTTGTATACAGGGTGTCCGTTTTTCGAGGACAACGATTGGAATATAGGAGACGGTAAGACATACAAAATCGCAATCAATGGCCAAATGTGTTACTGCTTTTGTGAGATCAAGTAACTCCGAATACAATTCATAAAAATGTGAACCTCTATTTAAAAAAATAAAGTTGATGATGATCGGCAAAAGAGGAAACGTCGCATTTCAAATTTGGTTACACCATTATGTAAAGGGGAGAAAGTTGCCCCAATAAAGTGAAGTTTATTTGAAATACGTTGACAAATGAGTCCAGGAAAAAATAGAAATGATTTAACAAAATTTTGATTTCCGTGTATCTCCGGAAGTGTTAGGAATTTTCCAAATTTCGAAGCAGCATTTTGTTAGGCAAGAAATTGCGCAACTTTGTCCCAATTTAACCGAACCTGTATCTCTTACCGTTTCCTATATTCCAATGATTGCTCTCGAAAAACGGACACCCTGTATAGGTAAATCTTCTTGATACCTATTCAATTAACCGTTCAGGGTCGGTTTCTCAATAGCTAGTCCAGGGTAGACGTGTCCAATTTCAATGTTTACCCTGGAGTTATGGTTAACTGCTCTGACCCGGGGGTGACTTGCTTGCTATTGAGAAACCGGCCTTCAAGTAAGGTGCCAAAAATACACAGGAAAACTTTGTACCTGCCAACACAAATATGTTTGGAGGAATCCCAGAGAAGCGAAAGCATAGTCGCGGTTTCCTGGTGCCCAACAAATATCAAATTAACCAGAGAGCAGAAGTTACTCATGCTGCATTGCATTGTTGGTTGTCGAAATGATGGCAAGTTTTTAGGGGGGGCCAGCTAAATTTTAGGGGGGGGCCCGGCCCCCCCTGCCCCCCCCTGGCGTTGCCACTGACCGCAAGTAACAGTTAAAATTCGACGAACAATAGGTAAACAAGACATTTATGGATACAAATAACACATCATCAAGATTATAAACAACAACAAAAAAAATACAAAAACAAAAATATCACACTAGCGAATAGGAACCTGACTTTCCTGAAGAATTTTCAGCTCCTGCCAAAACTTTCATCAATTCAGTCCTTGCCTTACCGCCTATCCAAATGATTAGAGACGCTCCACATATCAACTAAAAAAACACAATGTAAACAATAATAATGAAATCAGAATATAGAAACTGCAACCAAAGATTTGCGACGAGTTTGGGTCCAAAATTATATTATTATTTTTATAGATTAAATATATGTTTAGGGTCAAGGATTTATCTGAAACCACTTCTCAAGATTAATCCCTTAAAAAAATTGGCTTACCTGAGCTGCAGCAAAGAAATATGTTGTTGAGGATATATTCTTATTTTCTATCACATCCTGCATAGACCGTAGAGTAGATCCAACATAAACAGCAACGAACTGTGCCGGGAAGAGCCCCAAAAGAGATGCTATATGATATACTTTGGCACTTACATTACTCAGCTAAAACATCAAAGAAATTATACAATCGATACTGGTAATTAATTTTTACAGCAAATATAGTGTTTTGAAGTCCAAAAGGAATAGGCGTCAGTCTTGAACAAAAAACAATCTTGAAGCACAAGGGTCCAGATATAACTTGCATTATGGCAGCTGCAGTGTCATTCTGAGTGAATTTGTAGATACTTGGATGGTGTCCTAGTACTTTGAGAATGTTATGAGCGATGAACAGTCCAATATTGGCACCACAGATAACTAAAAATCAATAAAGGAATTGAAATTCTGGATCCATTTTTTTTAAATCTTGAATAGGTGCTAAAGAATATCCAAATTGTTTAGTTCCAAATTTATTAGGTACCACTGTTTTAATTTTAAGTTGGTTTTGGGGTGAAGAATGGATAGGTTGTAGAACACTTAAAACACAACATATAGTGTATTCTAACTTAGTTCTAAACTTCTGGCTGATGCAATGGATAATTGTGTAATGTTGTATTGTATTGGTGAGAAACGGAATCTCTGAAGGGCTGTGTGTTTCTGAAAAATAATATCCATAAAAATCTTCCATGATAATATCCTTGTTTTTTTTTCGAAATAAAAATAGACACCAGCAGGCTCTAGTTACAAACAACCTATAGAATATATTAAATAGCCCATAATTTGGTAATTTTTGACCCATTCATAGAAATTCTCAATTTTTGCCTAACTAAATACGTTATGGTGGACATTCAGGAATTTGGTATTTTATTGAAATGGGTAAAGTTGCAAAATTACCGGTAAAATAAATTTCGGTAAAATTACCGGCAATTTTACATAATATGTATTACCAGTAAAATTGGTAAAATTGAAAAATAATATCTTGGTGATTCTACAATGATGAAAGATGGAACGTTGATTTTAATTGTAGAATACCTACTGATGGTGGTAAGATGAACTTTTTTTTTTTTTACTTTTTATTTTACCTTCGCAACTCTAGAAATGGGACTGTATCTCTTATCTAATTAGGAATGAGACAAAATTGTATAGCCTCAGCAAAGATACTAATAATATGTTGGTAACGATAATTCCACAGTGAATTTGAACAGAAATAGAACAGTGGATTTTCCGAAGTTTTCTGCTTATGCAGAATGCCAAAATTCTATTGTGGAGGTGCTAGCTCAATGGACTTCCCAAATTAGATCCCCAATAACAAAGAAAATTTGGTGATACGTAAATGGTAGGTAAACTGAAATATTTCTGTTTTACATTGACTAATCAGAAGGGCTTGAAAAGCACTTAACATCGAGAAAACTTCATTTCTCAACCAACTAACTTAAGTTTTACAGGAAAATGATATAAATAAGAAAAATATAAGTATATAAATAAATAATAACTTGAATATCATTTAATCATATCAACCTAATTAATTTAATACAATCTATATTAAAACAATTAAAAAATTCTCATTTATATCCTCACAAAAAATCAATAAAATAATAAATTAGTAATTTCAAAATTGGAATTATTTCTATCTTAATTGTTTTAATAATTTTTATTTGAGTTTTTACTGATATTGTATCATAAGCACTAGCTTTATTTGATTCCAAATTAGCAATTAGCAATTATTTTATCAATTTCACTGTCCTCAATCTCTTCATTTAAGATCATTGAATTTTTCTTCCTTACTCTTCTTGATATTGAATACATATTATTTGGTATCTTTTACGCTTGGGTTTTCACAAGTATAAAATTTGATATGCATAATAAAATCCTTTATTGCCATTCTTTTGCATTAAAAATGTGATTTTACACCAAAAAATTTTTTTTTGTATCCAACAAGAAGTGTGTAATAGTAATAAGTTTATAAAAATACCAGAATTTGCAGGGACTGAATAGTAAAACTTTCAATTTTTATAGTTCGGTTGCAGCTAGCAGTATGGACATAATAGCAATTACAGAAACATGGTTAAAACCAGAAGTAGCAAACTCAGAACTGTTTACTGAATTTTACAATGTTTACCGCTCTGACCGCAATTTCAACTTAATGTTTCTGAGGGAGGAGGTGTTTTGGTGGGCGTATCTAATGAATATATGTCTCAGTCTGTTCCTTTGCCTGACCTGGAAGGCCTTGTCCCTGAAATCGATATTGTATGTTGTCAAATCATTGTAAGCCACTATACTCTTTATGTTTTAGTCTTATATATTCCACCATCTGTATACATTAAACATCTCGAATTATTCTTTCACAATTTATCCCTACTCAATATCATACATGAAAGGAATGTACTCATAATGGGTGACTTTAATATACCAGCATATGTCAGTGATGACCAAAGAGACTCCAAGAATTTATTACTTAAAAATTTTCTAACTTTATCTAACCTCAAGCAGTACAATAATATATTGAACATAAATAATCGTTTATTAGACCTCGTTATATCAAACTTTAAGTGCAATATTGAGAAAAATGACGTACCTCTTGTTACTGAAGACCCAAATCACCCCTGTATTCTTACTAAATTCAGCACAACAGTCGATCAGATTCATAACTTTCAATTAAACCCCAATCCTCCCAAGGAATTTATTTTTAGAAAAGCTAATTTTCAAATCATGTATGAGCGAATCCTCCATGCAGACTGGTCAGAAGTATATACTTCCACAACTGTCGACAAAGCTTGTTCTACCCTTTATAAAATACTGGAAAATATTTTTGAAAGCTGTGTTCCTCTCAAAATCAAGCGTACTGGTAGGTTTCCATCATTTCATCCAAAAAACCTTATAGATAATATTCGTAAAAAGAAAAAGGCTCGCAAGAACTATTCAAAATTTGGAAATAACATTTACAAAGAGCAATTTAACTCCTTGAGAAGGCTAGTAAAGACACAAATAGATCAAGCTTTCAAAGACCATATAAAAACTACTGAAGGAGCTATAAAAACCGATCCCACGAACTTCTGGTCATTTGTTCAAAGTAAAAAAGGACACTCTAGAATACCAGGTCTAATGAAGTCTAACGGTCAGGAGTTTTCTAATGGTCAGGACATAGTAAATGCCTTAAATTACACTGTTTATGAGAATAATGACTCCATTATCAACTTTTCAGGAATTGATACGTCAGATATCATTGATGCAAGTAAGAAGTTGAAAAATAAGCTTACCTCTGGCCCAGATCCTAGCTTCATTGTAAAAGACTGCATCGGTATACCTACTGGTGGACCCTCTACTTTATTTGTTTAATTTAGTTATAAAAACTTGTACCTTCCCTGCTGTCTGGAAAACAGCGAAAATCACCCCAATGTTTAAATCTGGTGATTCATCTTGCATAAACAATTATCGCCCAATCTCAATTTTATGCAATTTTTCTAAAATTTTCAAAATAATAATGTACAACAAAATATATCCGCCTATAAGGATCAAACTTTCAGTCCATCAGCATGGATTCAAAGACAGTAGATTGTGTATCTCTAATCTGGCATTATTGTCTTAAAAAATAAGCACGTCTTTGGATAGTCGTGGGCAGGTAGACATTGTCTACATGGACTTCCTAAAAGCATTTGATCGTATTGACCACTACTGTTTGTTATCTAAGCTTAAATCTATTGGAATGTCTGATCGTCTTGTTAGCCTGTTGAGATCATACCTGTTGGATAGGACTCAATTTATAGATCATGAGGGATTTAGATCACCAGCGTTTAGCTCAAGTTCAGGTGTGCCACAAGGTTCGAACCTAGCACCACTGCTGTTTAATATATTTATCAATGACCTTCTTGATTCACTCTCTTGTTTTAAGCTGGCTTATGCTGATGATGTGAAGATCGGCGTGTCTGTGGTCTCAATGAATGATTGTCACATTTTACAACATAATTTAAATGCTTTGAATGCTTGGTGTGATAGAAACAAATTGTACCTTACCATTTCTAAATGTAATATAGTCAGTTTTCATCGGATTAAGGAGCCTGTAATGTTTGACAACACCATTGGGGACTCTGTGCTTAATAGGCTTGATGAGATTAAAGATCTTGGTATCATATTTGATTACCAGCTTACATTTAATTCACATATTCATAATGTCTCAACTATTTAGTTCATCCAGGGTGCTTGGCTTTATCATTAGAAATAGTAAATATTTTACTAATCCAAGTAGACTTAGTGCCGGTACTTTTGCTCTCATTTAACAGCCATTAAAAATAATCAGGGGTTTGAATGTGCTCTAACCACATCAGACTTATAGAGACCTTGGCCCATGCAAAACTTTGACGACGTATCAAATTCGTTAATCGAGAGCAAAAGTATCGGCCCTTAGGCTTCTATACTATACCTTTGTTCGGTCAAAACTTGATCACGACACCATCCATACTATGGAACCCAATATATAATTTTTACGCCAATGCAGCTGAGTCTATTCAGAGGCGTTTTCTTAAGTACCTCCATTTCAAAAGACATGGTTTCTATCGATAGAGGTTTTGACCATACTGCGTTACTTTTGGAGTTTGATGAAGTGGCTTTGGCTCAGAGACAAAGGGTCCAAGCTGTCAAGTTTCTGTATAACCGCTTGCATGGTAAAATATACTGTCCAAATCTTATTGAGAGCATTTATTACAGGGTCCCCAGGCTGGTGGGTAGGTATAATGAGACATTTTATTTGCACACTGCCAGAACCAACATGATATACAGAAGTCCTTTATATTTTATGTGCAGAGTTTTTAATGAGGTTTCTAGAGACTGTGACATGAATGTCGATTGTATACAATCAATAATTCAGGCTGTACTGAATGTTTAGATTATTGCTTGACTTGCTTACCTTCTCTTTTTTTTGTTACAATTGTTACACTATACTTTGATTTTGTTTGTTATCCTGCCCTAATTATAGTTTACTCGCATCAACTTATAACACCATTTTTGTGTCTACGTGCTTTATCTTGTTTTTTTATTTTGTTTTTTATTTGGTTTTTTACTTTATAGATTTGTTTGTTGGTTATTTTTATGGTAAATATGCAGTATAGCCCGGTCACGTAAAATGGTATTTTTTTGAATAAGAATCGTTTGTTTAACGTTCAAATAGTGCATTTTGAAGAAAATTTTCCAGCGGAAATCTTTAATTTAAAAATTACAAATTAAAATTATATTGAAAATACTCAAAAAAATAGGTATTTTAGGTGACCGGGCTATACTGCACTTTATCCCCTAAATAAATATGCAGTATAGCCCGGTCACCTAAAATGGTATTTTTTTTTAAAAAGAATCGTTTGTTTAAACGTTCAAATAGTGCATTTTGAAGA